CTCCAGGGCTTGCTCTGCACACAGCAGAGACACATGCTGCTGGACAGGTCCTGTGCACTGGCTCCAATGTGTGGTCCCAACCCAGCCCCACAGACCCAACAACCCTCATCTAGCCAGCGGGATGACACAAGTTTGACACCCCTGGTCTAATAAGAGGGGTTCCTGACTAGGGACGGTAGTCTGGGATTAGGAAGAGAGGCTTTAAGTGGGATGGCACAGCCCTTTTTCCAAAATCTGAACTCCACTTGTTCACCTTGATAGGATTCCAGGAGTTCAAATGGGAAATATAAAATTTCCAAAAGTTTGAGAAGGTAAGGACACTGCCACTTGGTTTGAAACTCCCCGTGTTAATGCCAAAATTAAAGACTTGATATTTGGGAGACAGTAGCGGAGACTATTCAGAGATCTTCAATATAGCAAGGCACGCATCTGCTTCTGAGCTGGCAAAGAGGAGGGTTCCTGCTGCTGTTCATGAGCATCTGTCCCGAGTAAGAGGGTACCCATCTATGATACTTAAAGACAGATATTGGCTTGTTTAAAGAGACAGAGATCCAATGGTTTCCATAAGGTTTCACTTCTAATATTTCACGCTTGTTACTGTACAGTACAGGCCCCTGAAAGGACAGACTATTTACTTCAGATTTAGTTTCAAATGGAACAATAAAAGGCCTCAAAGGCATAACATGTTTGAAGTGGCAGATGCAATCAGCTTTACTACTGAATATGAAACAGAATGTGCATTTTACCATCATCCTGCCATCAATCACCAAAGTATTAGCCACTCTATGTTTAGAAAAGCACATCCTAAGGATCAAAGAGATCTTGTCCTTTAAGTTATATTGATATGCTATCACCGTTTGGTATTTTGCCACATTTGCATCATATGAAAATATTTTCCTGCTCAGTGTCAGACTTTGACCCGCATGGTCATATGGTGTGGAAGGAACAGTGAGACAAATCCGCACATTGCCTTCATGTGTCCAGTGGAAAAATGTGAGAAGCTGACAATGTCCACTTTCTTTTGCCCTCCTGATGAAGTCTTCAACATACTGGGAAATTATCTGAACACGGCTGGCATGGTCAGCCACCTAGACAATGGAAGATGAGTGTACTAGTGAAGGGGCTAGCGATGATTCTCAAGCTTTCTTCAGATGTAGTGCGATGCTTGGGACAGACAAAGTACTGCTTTTGGTTTTTTCATCTTTTTGTTTAAGATCCATGAGACTGCTCCATTTCAGTGGACCCCCAGGATTTCCAACTGTCTCAACATATTAACAATGAAAGTCTGTGATACTCTTCTTGAGAACCAGTCAGATAAGTTTAATGACTGTCCCTTGGTTTGGCTCTTGTCTTGGAGGTTAAAACCAATTAAATCTGTCAGCACTTGCAAGTTTGAGCCAACACCTTGAAAAACAAAAGCATAGCCACCTTTGAACCAGATCCTAAAACTGAGACCCATGCTTTCTGTATTATCATCATCTTAGACCCACATGAAGCTTGAGCCACTTTTTTTTTAAACTACATTTAGATCCTTTAGCGAATGTTGGACCAGAAAGGCTTTGTAGCCACATCTTCCTGAAGCAATAAGGTATATGACCTGGTTTGGTGTTCCTTGTAGGCCTACAGGATAATTTTCATTCAGGCAGAGCAGCCCACATCCAGGAAATCCAGACCCATAAAAAGAGCACCAATGCCAAAAGAACTACCAGACAAGATGGGTATCATTTTAAAAGCAGGTTTCTCCAACTCCAAATCCCTAAATAAACCAGATGCAGACCTAAGTTAGACTACAAAGAACATCCTTTAAACCACTAAGTTAGCCTAACCTACCAACTACAAATCAGACTTATCTAAGACACTATATTTACTAAGTAAAGAATCAGGATGCAAATTTGTTCACATCCATCTGGATTGCTGCAATTCAAAGTATGTGACAGAGTACAGATGTGTCCTTAAATGTTCACAAGTGGAGAGAGGAAGAGTAGGAAGACTGCATGAGAGGACTGCACCATTTAAGCTACACTGGCCAGCCTTCCCTCTCAAGGGATGCATGCAAGGCACACTCACCTGTCTTATTCCAAGAGATTAAAACAGCTTAACCTATTTAGCTAAACATAAAGTTAACAAATGCCCTTATCATGGTCTAAGTACCAATATGTGAAGACGACTTATGAAAATGAAGAGCCCCACAACGTAGCAGGCAAATATACAAAAAGTTTTAGTGGCTGTAACTTGAAGTCAGACAAATTCCAACTGAAAATAAAAATATAAATGTTTAATATAAAGATGATCACTCAGATTGTATAGGGGTCTTTCTGAAAGTTGTGCTCTAATTAAGTTATAGTTAAGCTTAAGACAACCAAGTAAAAGCCTAAGACCTGTGGTAAACAGGTGGTCAGGATAACAAGATCAAAACATAGTATGGTAGGTTTGGAGTGTTGCTGTAACTGTGATGGGCCAAACAATGTCCAAGAGATGAAGACTGTGTGTGTTATCTTTTACTGAACCAACTGTATTGTATACCCCAGCAAGTATAAGGGGAAAACAAGCATTGAAGAAATGAGCACTTGGGAGAAAAGGTCTAATATTTTCAGTAATATCCACAGGGATATCAAAAACCCTGGCCAAGTGGGTGTTTACAACTTTGTTCCCCATTTTGTCCCCATTTCCCTTAAAGAAAGCTATTTCTAAAATGCATGGAGTGATCTGTATCAGATAGCTTTGCTGCAGGGACAGGGACTTCCAAACTTTTCTCACAACATGGACTACATTCAGAGCTGTCCAGCTCCATAATGGCTGCGGGTCACAATGGTCCCTGCCAAACCACGCCACCAGTATGCTCCTCCCCACCCCAACAAACTGTGCTGCACGGATGCCAAGCTGCAGGCTCCCTGGTCCTGCAAGCTGCCTTGTCCCACCCCAGGGGCAGGGGCAAAGGCAGGAAACAGAAGCTAGAGGAGGGAGTGGGGAGCCCAGAGATCCTGGCAATAGCAGCAACTGGAGTGGGGGGAACAGTACCCAGGCCACAATTTAATCCCTCGTGGGTTGCACACAGCCTGTGAATTGGACAGCCCCAGGCTACATCATCACTGAGAATCCAGTAGATAACTTCTCTTCCATTTGAGACCACACAACATCTTTGCAGAATGTATTTATATACTTCTAGCTGTTTTTACCACCAATGTTGTGGTGTCATGTTGTCTTTATTTGCATTTAGACAATTGTATAACCTGGGCTCTAAGTGCTTTCAACGGTAGTTAAAAATCCGATACAAGACTAAGCATACTAAAACACCAGCCATCTAAACCCTGTCAGCCTCCATGTTCCACACAGTCCATCCCTAAACACTGGCAATCCTCCCCTGCTCAAAAAGAAAGTCTTTACTGTGTGCCCAGGAAGTCAACACAATTGAGTAATTCAGACCAAGGAAGGAATCCAGAGCTGAGGACACCAATGAAGATTATCTTGTGAGCGGATGCTCTTGCTCAAGCATAATGGGGATACCAGCACTTCCACCCATCACAGCGGTGTCAGTATAACCTATGGAGGAAGGTTAGGAAGGTCCCAGGCCCTTCTAGGACTTTAGAAGTTAGTGGCAATGCTTTAAGTTAACACCTGCCAAATAACAATCCAGTGAAGCCACAGAGCACTGTGGCATTTTCCAATCTGCCACACCCTACACTAGCCTCTCTTCGCAAAGGAATGCAAAGGATTTGTCTCATGGACAGATTGGAGACTCTAAATGAGAGGAACAAAGAACGATCACAGGACTTGAAACATATGATGACAGACTGGAAGAACTGTGATTAAGACGTCCGGAGAAGAGAAGACTAAGGGGAGTCTCCAAATACAAAAAGGGTTGTTACAAAGGGGATGCCTATCAGTTGTTCCCTGTGTCCACAGGAGACCAGACATATGTAATGGGTTCAAATTCCAATATGGGATGTTTAAGTTGAACATTAGTAAGAGTATTCCAATTATGAAGATGGCGAAGTACAGGACCAGATTAGCTAGAGAGGTGGTGACATCTGCACTTAAATTTTTAATATATTTGTCTGGGGTGGTATACAAGGGAATAATTTTCCCTTGAGCGGGGTGCTAAATTATGACCTGAGACATTTGCAGTACTATTTTTCTATTATTTCTAAAGGTACAATCCCAGGCATGGTGCAATACTCTTAAAAGTTAATTACATTTTCTATTTGGATTCTCTCAATTCTCCCTCCAGCATGTGATCTGCTGCTGTTTTGCCCTACTCTCCCACATGCTCTTCCCTGCTTAGTTTTTACTTGCTGCTTGAGTCCCCTTTTCCTTGGATACACTGACAAGCTACTTCAGTCTCTTCTACATTGCTCCCATGGATGCTTGGCTATCTTGTTCCCTTCTCCTCAAAGTATTTTTATCCGGCTGATGGTTGGCACCTTTGTAACACTGATGTTTGTGGCCCCTATACGCAGTCCATGATAACAGTGGTCCCTAACAGAGGCAGCTGGATTAGTTCTTTTTTGTTTCCCCAACTACTTACATTGACATCCAGCCTATTTATTTGCCATTAAAGCCTGAAGATCAGTGGAAGCAGCTGGAGACAAAGAGATGCACACAGCCAGTGCTCTGTTGCCCAGCTGGCAATCAATCTGTGCTTTAGGCAAAGCCATTCTCTTCAAAGCCAGATGGATGAGATTGGAGCTGTATTGCTTTTTTTTTTTCCTGCTTCCCCACCTAATGAGTCATGCCTTGCTTGCATTCACAGAGCAGCAACAGCAGCAATTCCCCCAGACTCTGTTGCTAAAGACCCCCCCAGAACAGCTTATTCCTGAGCCTATCTGTTATGAGACTCATTTTGCTTTGGAAAAAAATATTTTTTTAAATGTATTTGATGCAAACAATATTTTGATTTCACTTCCTTCTTCCTAGACTGGAGGTGTAGAGAAGGTAAGAAAATGGCGTGGCTTTTTATTTCTTTCTTTCTTTTTTTTTTTTTTTTTTTTTTTTTTTTTAAATCAGATGGATTTTTTTTTCTGACCAAGTGAAACCCAACCAATGCAAAGACCAATCCAAACTGAAAGTGAAGCTGCATTTTAAGCTCTCTGAAAACACCAACATTTAGTTTTATAATATAACCAGGGGTTTATTCCACAATATAAACTGCAACATTTGATACAAGCTACCCAAAAGAGAAGAAAGCCAAAATACAGCTGTGGCAATTACTTTACAGAGCCATTTCTGTCTTCTAAATCACTAATCCATCAGTGATACTAGGACCTAACCGTTTGCGTTCTGTACATTAACCAATGCTAAAAGCACCAACACGCTGTTCAGAATTGTCATTCCAGTCACTGAAGCCAGACATAGAAGTTATTGCTCAGATAAATAAACCTAGTCTACAAAAAAAATCAAAGTGAAAAAAACCTAAAGTTTCCAACAAGTTAACAGGGTAAACAGGGATTTCCTCAAAAGAGGATTTATTGGAAAATTCATAGTGCAGTTTTTTGCACCCAAACAGAGTTGATTTAAATATGCCGGTAAATCCCAGAGAGAGGTAATTTAATGCTGTACAATAAAAAGGTGCATGTTTCAAATGCCTTCCAAATTGGCGGAAACCCCTGCTAAACAGTCAGCATTTCAAACCTCAACAATCACAAACAGCTCAAGGGAGAAAAGTACAAAAAGTGTCAAAAATTGAGTTCTGGAAAATGATCCCGTGAGGATAGAAGTAGCACCATTTGCAGCCTGGCTATTAAACCAGCCCCTGTGGCTTTATGGAGAAATTCTCATAACCTTCTTTAAAATAGAGTCTTGAATGATTTATGGGGAGTTTTACTTTCGATGTTGAGAGTCCTTCCCAGCACAGCTGACACAGATGTAGTCTTCCTTCTCTGCCATCTCTGGAGAGACACCCACACACACCTGATGGAACCACTGGTTGCAGCTGCCATCACACTGGACCCAATCCACCTAATTATGAAGAACAGACAGATGAGTGTTCAGATAGGGGCAGCAGATAACTAATCATGAAAACTGTTTGCTTTATTTCCAAGTTCTTACCAACCAGAACCAGCAGCCATTGTCATGTATCTAGGACTGGTTTGGCAATTGTATGGGGCACAGCTATGGACATGGCTATGGAATGTAACTAAAACATTGGTGTAACTAAAACATTCATTGGTGTAACTAAAACAACAGTGACCAGCAGTGTTTGGATTCCTCCCCTTGCACAGAGTTGGACATTGTGTGGAAGGGGATTGTTCTTTTGCATTTTTGAATTCCCAGCTTCTGGTACAATTTACACATACAGTGGGGAGCTAACACATGCATCAAGGTCAGATGAACACACAATTCAAACTTGCTGTACATAGACACCCCTAAAAACGAACTTGTCACCTGTTTGTTGCCTGCCCTCATCCCTATAAATAAATAAATAAATCATAAATTCATCCCTATAAATAAAATTCCTCTCCCTGCTACCTCTGCATCTTTCTGGGGAGAGCACCTTTTCCATCTTGACCCTGTCTCCTTGAAGAAGGGTTAGGACAAATCTAGTCAGATGGCTACCTTCACCATATCATTGTTTTAGTTTCCACTGTCTCTAGTCCCTGGTGCTCAGCTGAGCCTTCTGTACAGGCATCTGGGAGTAAGGGGTCCTTACCTGTTGCCCCAAGTTGCTTCCCAAGCCTATGGGAAGTTCACAGATGGCACTTGCATCCCCATGTTTTTCTTCAGTCCCATGGGGAGCACACCTGTTTTTGCCCCCTCTTGCACGGAGAAGGGCCTGTATGAGACCTACAACCTTCTGTTTACTTTATTCTGTCCATGCAAGGGTATAAACGGGTCTCCAGCTGCTCTGGTAAGATCTATGAAGTCTCCCTATACTCATACTTCAGGATCAATGAAGACCACTTGCCCTCTGAAGCATGCAACCACCCACAAAAAAAATCTTGGTGAAGACCCTTTTAGCCACTGAAAGGCCAGTTAGGAGGACACCACACTCATAGATGACTGGTGCCTCCAGAGTCTTGGGGGGGGCACTAGATCACTGACTGGGGCAGGGAGGGTCCCCCCCAGCAGCCGATTGCTGAGCCTGCAGTGCAACTGGAAGTGCACTTCCGATTTCGCAGCTGGCACTTCCAGGGGGTGCACGGCCAAACTCAGGGGGCGCACATACACCCCCTATGCAACGCCAGTGACCATACTGATAATAGCCCTGACCAAATATAGGTTTGAGGCATTTCCTATGGGAAAGTCTGAGTGTGAGGAGGAACTATAGGTATCTTGAAAGTTGAGAGATGTGAACATTAATGAATGTTGTAGATGATCACTTTTTAAAATATAATAGGGTATCTTCTGGTTCTCAGATGGCAAAACTCCTTGCTAAAAGGAGTACTTCTGGGGGCAAGGGGAGGGACTTCTGGCAGCAAAAGTCAGCAGTTACAGGGTGGGACTTCTGGTCACAAGATGGTGACCAGGGGGCAGGGCACCTGTCAAGGGGCAGGGCTACCCATGCGGCCCTTGACAGCTTGCCAAAACTCAGTAACCGGCCCTCCACCCAAAATAATTGCCTGCCCCCGAATTAGAGCATAAAAGCTGGTGCACATCCCCAAGCAGCAGCTCCCCCTTTTGAAACCACTCCAGGTGAATCCTTGTCCACGGTCTCTCTTTGTAGAAAATGTTTTTCTAATAAAACAATTAGTGTTCAGTTGCAACATCCCTGGTTCTTTGCATTTAGTGCCCACAGCAAGCTTTCCCTTCACTGACCTCATCTCCTTCAGGCTGCAGACAGTTCATAGCAGGGCAGATTGCATCTTCATCCTCAGAGTCTTCCTGCTCTGAGAATGATGTATCTGAGGGAAGCAAGTGGCTTTCGCTGGAGCGCTGCACCTCAATGAGCCGCTCTCTCTCTCTCTCCCTCTCCAATTTGTTGTTAGTGAGGTCCTTCGAGTAATTCAGTTTCAGTTTCTTCTTTTTGGGGGTTTTCATTTTTTTTATCCTTGCTCTCTTTCCATCGCAGAAGCCCTCTCTTTCAAAGCGCCTCTTTAACTTTCTCTCCATATAACCAACTCCATCTCTCCTGCCCCGGCAGTACTCATTCTATTAGAAAAGATTTTGAAGCAAAACTGTAAGTACTGAATTCAAACACAAATTTATTTTGTAGGCTCCCTGCTCCTTTTCAGTATATCGTCCATTCCTTTCAACACTGAAAAGACAAGCCCTCTGTGAGCTATTCTTTTCACAATGGGCTATTCTTACAAGTTTCACAGTGATTCAGGGCAAATGTTAAATGACAAAAGTTCATGAAAGAGAGAGATTCTTTCCCTCCATCCTCCAAAGCAATATAGGTCCAGTTTTCTAGGAAAAGCTTCCACTAGACTTGCTAGTAACTGCTTCCCATTCAAAACACAATGGCCATATTTAAGTCGTATAAATGACCATGAAATGCAGTTTCAGGACGTAGAAATAAATCACAAAAACATATCCACAGAGAATTCTGCAGCAAGCTGTACAAGTTCAACAACTTGTCAAACTTTTCAGAAAACAAAATTATTTTCATAGGCCCCTGGTAGACATTAATTTAGTTATGTGACTGGTATCCGATTAATTCTATCCCAAATCCCAACAATTATGCGTCCTGCCACACCAGCTTTCAACTTGCTGGTGCATGAGAAGCCAACTAGCTGGTCAGCTCTCTGTGTGCCAGCACCAAAAGCCACCATAAAGCCCGGTGCCAAACTTGCCACGCGCTGAAATTAAGGCACAATACAGAACAGCCACAAAGGCACTCTACATTATATGTTGAACATCCTTGTGGCTGGGTTGCCATTTTACTGGTGTAATAGATTGACTGAACTTGTTATATGTTACAATGTATCATGCAATAAATGTCACATCTGCCAGGCCCCACAGAAGCTTCACACCTATCATTATTGTCAAGCTTACGATTCCAGTCAGAATCTCTCTGCTTTGAAAGCAGCCCAGTCCCATCTCTGTTGTCAAATACCTGCCTTTTCATTCAATGGTCCTACTGGTGACTTCTGCTCTGCTTGCAGAACAGGGCTCTGTTTTGTGAATAGGATCTGGTACAGCTCCTGTATTTCAGGTAACGAAACCTGTAGCAGCTGGGCTTCCATCATCAACTCATCCAGCTCTGCACTAATGACTACAATGATAAAACAAAGATTTTAATTCTCTGATATTAGCATTTGTGACAATTAGTGCTTTAGAAAATTATTTCACTGTAGTAAATAAGTCAATACAAAGAATTATTTGGGGAGGATTTTTTTAGGCTGAACTTCAAGTCAGCTCAGAGACTTCACTATTCTGGTTATGAAAATATATGTAAAGGAAAGGTGAAAGCCTATAGTATAATTAATGGGCAGCAATGTAGTACAGTAGGATCATCTTTAAATGCCCCCAATCAAATTCTTCCAGGTTATCATTTTGAAAAAGATAATATCTGTAAACCCTGGATAAGTCTACAGTGAAGGACTAAGATGGGGATGGGAGAAGGAAGACAAAAAATAAATATCAGTCATTTCATATTGGTAAATTTCTAGTATAAATGAAAAGTTAAAAGCCAAATTATGCATTATTCAGATACTGTTACGGGTTAATAGTCTTTTGCATTGAGCTTAAAAAAAACAAAATGTACTGGATTTGTGATATTCAGCAGCAGAGAGCTTCTTTATTTAATTTTATACTACAACATTTTCAAAAGATTGTTCTACGCTGAAGTAAAGAAACAAGCCTATAATTGGTCAGTATATTGAAATGGAACTCAACTATATCAAGAAATAAAACCTAAAACCAAAACTGGATCTTGGTATCTCACACAGAAGTAGATGCCTGCAGTAAAGACGGGGAAAACAAAAAGCAAGGATGACTTTGGAAAGATTTCACTTATTCCTATCCTATATTGGTCTAATCCATACTAGATAATCTGCTGAGAAGCTTAATGGCAGGGAACCTAAGATCTACAGGACTCAAAAATCAAGGGATGGAGAACAAGGCATAGCCCCAAGTTTTACACAGCATTTCTTTTTCTAGGCATGTATAGTAAATTTAAAATAAAGCATACAAACCATGAAGGGGGATGCAGTTTTGTCCTGTAGAAAAAGGAGAATGTAAATATATGGTTCTGCTATCCCAGTCATGAGGCAGAGAGAAAGACATAGCACCAATTGTCTGAGATACCTAATGGAAGGAAAACAAACACACACTCATTCCTACCAAATATTTAAACTATAAATCACAGTGCAACAAAACAAATGTGTTTCTATTTCAACAAGTAATTTAAAAGCTTTCCCTATGACAACTCATTCATTCTAGCAAATTCATTTTAATTTTTTCAGCTTAAACCTGGAAAACCAGTGAAGGCAACATTGTGATGAAGTAAAAAGCTGTAAATTACAGTTTCCAGAGACCAAACAATAGCACCACTACAATGACCTAGCAACTTCTTCCATTTTATAATGATCAATAATAAACCATAGCAGAGACATACACCGGAGCCAAGTGATGGTCAATGGCAGTAAGTGACTGACTTCTATGTAATATTTTTAACTAGAAAAGTAACATTAAAAGCTATCATAATGCAAATTTCCTCTATTTTAAACAGATGCTTTACCTGGTGAGGCAATGGGCTGATAGCTAGGAGATCTTCAAGTGCATATAGCTATATCAGGGCTGCCCACCTTTGATGTGGCTGAGGTCTGCACAAAGTTGGCATGCAGTCCTTGGACCACACACTACATGGACTCCCAAACCATACACAGTGGTATGTGGCCTTCCCCCACCCCCCACCCCCACTCCTCACCATGTGGTAGTGGGAGGTAAGAGATGGCTGTAGGGGCCTGCAGGTCACAGGTTTGACAGCCCTGAGCTAGATGAGTATATATATATATATATATATATATATATATATATATA